TCTAATCCCGGCAGCCCCGCTTCCCTTCCAGCTCCCTGCCTGTGGCCCGGGAAAGCAGTCAAGGACGGCCCAAAGCCTTGGGACCCTGCACCCGCGTGGGAGACCCGGAAGAGGCTCCTGGCTTCGGACTGGCATAGCATCGGCTGTTGCGCTCACTTGTTGAGTGAATCATCGGATGGAAGATCTTCCTCTCTGTCTCTCCTCTCTGTATATCTGCCTCTCCAATAAAAAAAATAATAATAAAAATAAATCTTTAAAAAAAATAGAAATGCAGATCTTTTCAAAAAAATAAATAAAATAAAATAAATAAAATAAATCTTTAAAAAAATATATATATATATTTCAAGAGATATTGGTATATATGCTAGTATAATCAAAAAACACCTTGGGCATATATATATGTCCATGTAATTGTACTCCATGCATAATAATTTTTCACTTCAAAATAAGATTAATGAAAATGCTTTTTAAAACATTGGACTGGCATGGTGGTCCAGCATGCTATTCCTCCAACTGCAGTGCTGACATGCCATGTGGGTGCCAGTTTAGTCCTGGCTGTTTCACTTCCCAGCCAGCTCCCTGCTAATGGCCTGGGAAAGCAGTGGAGGATGGCTCCAGGCCTTGGGCCCCTGCATCCAGGTGAGAGACCCCATAAGGGGCTCCTAGCTTCAGATAGGCTCAGCTCTGGCCCTTGCAACCACCTGGGGAGTGAATCAACAAACGGAAGATATGTCTCTTCGTCTCTTCCTTTCTCTCTTTGTAGTACTGACTTTCAAGTAAAATTAATCAGTGTTTCAAAAAAAAAAAAAACCACCTACATTGATTTATATGTAAAATAACAGATTCCAGGCTGGGATAATGACAAGCTTTTTTTTGTCAATGCTTCAGTGGACACTGGAGAACCGTGCAGTAGGTGGCACAGTTCTCTGAGCATGCCAGGCTGCCTTCTGCCCTACTTACGCCAGCAGTGTCCCCACCAACCCCATTCCAATGGACAACAGAAGACATGATGACACACGACCGCGTGCCCACGAGGGGGCGCTCCTACCTTCACTAAGAACGACTGGTCAAGCGCTATGGGGTCTTCAGGGAAACTCTTCTTTCCAAGAGAAGTGAGATTTGTTTCCATTGCAGGTTTAGTTCCATGACCGACTGCAGCATTTAACGCATGCCATATATTTCTAAAATATGTAGAAAATTAAATCAAAATATAAGTTAATTTGGGGCCCAATGGCTAAGTCCCTGCCTTGTACGCACTGGGATCCCATATGGCACGAGTTCATATCCTGGCTGCTCTACTTCCCATCCAACTCCCTGCTTGTGGCCTGGGAAAGCGGTGGAGGATGGCCCCAAGCCTTGGGCCCCTGCACCCGTGTGGGAGACCCAGAAGAAGCTCCAGGTCCTGGCTTCACACCAGTGCAGCTCTGGCCTTCTGGCCATTTGGGGAGGGAGCCAGCAGATGGAAGATCTTTCTCCTTTTTTCTGTAAATCTGCCTTTCAAATTAAAAAAAATTTTTTTTAGAGAAATGCATATTATGAAAAAAATCTGCATGGATTTCAAACTTTTTGTGTACCAAAAAAAAACCCCTTTATTTTTCAATTCAGTCTTCCTCAAACTGTTGAAGTGAGCCAGAGGCAAGAAAATCTCTCTGTATTCATTTGAGAGGAAGAATTAGAGAGAGAGGCTTTTATCCCCTGGTTCACTCCCCAAAGGGTCACAACAGTGACCTCTGGCCAGGTGGAAACCTGGAGCCTCTCCCGGTTTCCCTTGCTTGTGCGGGGACCCAGGCCTTTGGGATCAGCAAGGAGCTGGCTCAGAGGTGAAGCTGACAGAACTCCGTGCCCATCTGGCATGCCAGGATCCCAGGCAAAGGCTTAACCTATACCTCTGCATCGGTCCCAACACTGAAGATTTTCTCTCTCTCCCAAAGTTTGGTCTCACCACACTAAAAAAAAAATTTTTTTTTTGTTTTTCAAAAGTCAGATATACAGAGAGGAAGATCTTCAGTCCGATGATTCATTTCCCATGTGGCCGCAATTCCCATTCTGGTACAGGTTCCCAAGGCTTTGGGCCATGCTCAATTGCTTTCCCAGGCTGCAAGCAGGGAGCTGGACGGGAAGCAGGGCTGCTGGGATTAGAACCAGCACCTATATGGGATCCCAGTGTGTGCAAGGCGAAGATTTTAGCTGCTAGGCTACTGCGTTGGGCCCTGGTCTTGACATATTTTAAAGAGTTTTGGAGGTTATTGCACTAATAGGAAATAATGGCGACAGTGTTGCTATCAATGCCGTACTACAGGCCACGTAGAGAACAAGCAGCTTGGGCAGAATCTGAACCCAGAGCTGCGTGGTGTCCAAGCCATGGCCCTTGCAGCCCAGCGCCATGCTCTCTGCAGTGAGATCTCGGTAAAGTCAGCTGGACATTAGCCGTCACACCCCGTGCTCTGGGCCTCTGTGGAAGAGCGAGAAACCTGCAGGCCTGCAGCACTGAGGTGCTGGGGGAATCCAGGGCCCAGGAGGGCACAGGGAGGCAACCCAGAGAGAGACATGCCAGCCCAAGAAGCCATGCCCATTTGGATGAAACCTCAGCTGGCACTCTGCAAGGGAGGTCTAGCCCTGGAGAAACCACGCCCGTCTTCCGGCAGCCACCTTGCATTGGCCAAACACAGTGGACCCAGGAAGGAGCCCGGGACACCCCTCCTGGGTGGGTGGTCCCTTCCAGACAGCACCGTGGAGGAAGGGCAGGGTGCAGCTTCAAGAGCCGCAGACCCAATAGGCAGAGTCACCCAGGGTCCCACTGTTGCTCTATAGAAGGAACATCCTAAACCTCTATAAATAGTAAACTTCCTCTTACCTTTGGACTAATCTGATTGGCCAAAATAATCACACGTGGCTTTAAAAGTGTTGATGACCCGAGCAGATCACTCTCTCTGCTCCTGAAAGTCACTGAATGCCTGCTGGCCAGGGGTCACAGTCACGGTTGCCACACTAATGATGAGGCTGTTTTGTCTGGCTGGAGGTCTGGGTTCCTGCTTGATGTTCTGGGAAGCGCCCCTGGTGAAGAACATTTGGGGAGCCTCGTGCCTGCTTGGCACGAGGGAGCTGGCAAGCTTGCACTGAGGCCTGGGCATAAACCCTGCAGCCCCCTGAGGCTGTTGGGAGGCTTCTAGATTCTGGAGGGAAAAGGGGGGACTTCGAGATGAAGATCAGGGGCTGGGGTTACAGGTTCTGCCCCTTGATGACTGGCAGCCACCTCTGGGGGATGGAGGGCAGCGCTGGGGTGTGGCTGGGAAGGCTCCAAGGGCAGTCACATCCCCAGTCCTGCTGTGCTGTCACCACGCCTGAAATCCAGACATTTTATGGCATTTGGATACTTGGCATCTTGGTGGGTGTTCTCTCCCCATGAAAGCAATTCCCAGAGAACCCCCCGGAAGCTCCCAAGATGGAAGCAACAGAACAGGCAGGGTTCCAGTGCCCCAGCCCTGGCTCACTTAGGCAGGTGAGGGAGGGCTCAGGACTCCCCTAGGATCCAAGATTTGGTGTCCCCGTCTTCCAGCAGCACTGACCTGCCCTTCCACCTCCTGCAGAACATCCTGGCTTCTTCCCTGCTGCAAGACCAAGCTGTCCTGGGAACACGGGAGCATCCGCAGCCTGGGTTAGGGGTCCACACCCCCCCCCATCCCTTAGCTTAGCACTTTAGAATTAGAGCTTGCCCCTGGTCCTGGCAATGCCAAGACTAGAGGGCAGCTCAGGCCCCACTCCTTGGGCGGTACTTATTTATTTATTTAACACCTGGGACGGAAGCTCTGCCCAGTGATATGCAAAAAGCGCTTTACATTTTGCATGGTGCATTCGCATACTTGCTCACTTCACCCTCACCCAGCCTGCTGGCTTTGTTTTCTAGTCGTACAGGTGAGGGAACTTTACCCTGGTGACAGAACCAAGAGGGAGGCGTCTGCTGGATTAAGAACCCCCGAGGTTCTGGGTCTGCATCCCGGCTCAGCCCCAGCTCCCGCCAAGGCGCCTCAGGCAAGGGACCTCACTTCCCTGGAACGCCTCACGTGTCAAGAAAACAGCCATTCCAGTCAGGGGCCGTTGGGAGGCCTAAATAAAACCAGGCCCAATAAGCGTCTCGCTGAGCACAATGTCTCCTTCCCAGCTGCATCTCCTCCCTACAGAAGCGTCCCGAGACGCCCTGGTGCCAGCCGCTCAGCGCCATGCCCGCTTGGATGCGATCCCTGCGCCGGGTCCTTAAAGGCCCAGGGACGCCGGGCACAACGCGACCAGGCCGCTGAGGGAAGGAACTGCGGGGGTCCTGGACCAGCCGGAGCGCGCGTGGCGGCTCCCACAGCACGCACCGCAGAGGGTGCGCAGCTTCGGTGTCCCGGGGAGGGCCCCGCGCCCACACACTTCCCGACTCGTCCACTCTTCTGGCCAACGAGTCGGGGACGTCAGAGAGCCATCAGGGAGCCAGGGCGCAGGCAGCGTGCAGCTTAGTGGCCGCGGTGCCCCAGCGCCCGGACCCCGCCCCCGGCCCGCCCCCAGCCCCGGCGCGACGGGCGGGAGGCGGGACGTGCGCAGCGGGCGCGGGGGGCGCGCGCGTGCAGCCTCTCGGCGCGGGGAGCCGTGGGGGCGCGGGCCGGCAGTGGGCGGGGAGCCGGGCGCGCGCGGGGCCGGCGCGGAGTGCCAGGCGGTGGCGGAGGAGGCGGCGCACCCGCGAGGCCCGGAGTCGAAGGGGATGCGAGAGGCGGTGCCGGCAGAACTGGGACGGCGGTGACCTCGGCGAGGCCAGAGCGAGGCAGCAGCGGCGGCGGCGGTGGCGGCTGCGAGCTCCGCGGGAATCCTCCGGGGAAGGGGCGGGGGAGGGGACGGCGGCAGCGCGGGGCGCAGCCCGGGCGGGGCCGGGGGCCAGTGATGAGCGAGCGCACGGGGAGGCTGCACGCCGCCGCCACTGCCGCCCGGAGCATCCACCGCCCGAGTCGCTGCCGGCGATCCAGGCTATGGAGTCGCTGAACGGCCCCACGAGCGGCGGCGCCCCGGACGCCAAGCCTCAGCCGCCCGGCCAGCACCACCGCCACCACCACCACCTCCACCCGCTGGCTGAGAGGAGGAGGCTGCACCGCGCGCCCTCGCCCGCCAGACCCTTTCTCAAGGACTTGCACACCCGACCTGCCGCGCCCAGCCCGGCTCCCTCCGCCCCTTCCCCTGTCCGAGCCCCGGTGTCCGCCGCCCCGCGTTCGCCCAACCTGGCGGGCAAAGCGCCACCCTCGCCAGGGCCCCCGGCCGCTCCCGGGCGCCTCTCTCGGCGCAGCGGCGGTGTCCCCGGCGGGAAGGACAAGCCACCGCCGGGCGCCGGGGCCAGGGCGCCGAGTGGCGCCAAGGCCGCCCAGGGAACCAGGAGGGCGGCGCGCGCGGGGCCCGCGGAACCCTTCAGCCGGACTGCGAAGCCGCCTGCGGCCGAACTGTCTCCCGCCGCCGCTGCCGCCAAGAGCCGCAAACCCAAGCGCGGCTCCGGGGCGCCCCCGATCCGCACCCTCGGCGCCCCAGCCCCGGCTGCTCGGATCCCCTCTGTGACTCTCTCCGTGACCTCGGCGGCCGGCTCCCCCGCGCCGGGTTCGCGCATCAGCCACACGGACAGCAGCTCCGATCTCTCCGACTGCGCCTCCGAACCCCTGTCTGATGAACAGCGCCTGCTCCCGGCAGCCAGCAGCGACGCCGAGTCTGGCACCGGCTCCAGCGACCGAGAACCCCTGAGAGGAGCGCCCACGCCCAGCCCTGCATCCCGAGGACCTCCACCTGGCAGTCCCGAACCCCCAGTGCTCCTCGTCGCGCCCCCCGTCGCCTCTCTTGGGGGCCGAAGTAGCCCAGCCGGGTTCCCCGTAGGGTCGCCAGGACCCTATGCAGCGGACGATGCTGGGGGTCGCGTGCCGCCGGAGCGAGCGCTCCCTGGGACTCCCAAGGAGTCCGGTTTGGGCGAGCAGCCGCGGCTTGTGCAGGTGCCGGCGGCAGAGGAGGAGGAGTTGCTGCGCGAGATGGAAGAGCTGCGCTCCGAGAACGACTATCTCAAGGTGAGTGGGCGGCAGGTGTCCCGAGCGCGCCACCGGGAGGGCTTGCGGCTGTGGGCTGGGACGTTCCAGCCCGGTCAGCCTTCACTGCACTTCCTGGCGCCTGCGCGAGTTAGGCGCTGGGAAGTTCAGCCAAACTGCGGGAAGGAGCCCGAGACCTGTGGGTCGCAGCTTCTCACTCACCTAGCTCTTCCCCTGTCTGCAGATCTGGCCTTTTGAGCGTGCCTTTTGTTTTGTTGACATGTTGCGGGGCGGAGGGGAAGGAATGGCGGCGTCTTTGTGGATGCTTCAAGGGCCAGTGCCGGCCCCTCAGCTGTAGGGGCAGGGTTTTGCCTCGGTGGCTGAGTACATGTCAAGCGTGTTGCAGTTTGTGTAGGTTGTGGCAAGCGCAGGATGGGCGGTTTGGCAAGCTGCAGAGGCACCTGCAGCTTCTGCAGTTACAGAAGGAGCTGCCATATCTCCGTGTCTGCTTTGGGCTGTGGCAGCACCTGCAAGAGGGGGGGCCCTGGCGTTTGCCCTGATCAAGTGGAAGTTCAGGAGGGGTTCTTTGAGTGTGACCTGCGTTGAGGGTCAGCGGCGTTTTTGCTGGCCAGCCCTTCGCTGGCACCGGCCCTGCCAGTGCTTTCTAAGGAATCACGGTTTTCACTTTCTCCCGTCTCAGTGTTGTCCAGCAGGGACTGCTAAAGTGGCTGCTTAGTCTCCTTAGCTCTTAGGAGCTTCGTCTGGCTCCGTCCTTCTCTCCTGGGAGGAGGGCTGGCAGGGAGAGCCGAGGGCACAGACGGTGCTGGGTGACTTGAGGGAAAAGTAGGGGGTTTGTATCAGGGACAACTGTTTGGTCCTCAGGTTTAGTGAGTAATTCCAGTGGCGTAAAGTAACCCAAGTGGGTGTTAAGATCTTAACGCATGCCCTCCCAGACCAGCCCGGTGGCCCTGCTTTATCAGGAGGTGATGTGAGTCACCCGTTTTCTCAGCAAATGAAGAAGCTGCTGGGTGGAGGCCCGGGTTTTGAGGACTGTTTTTCAGGTGAGGAGTGGTGATGGCTTGTTCGGAACCGCAGGGCTGCTGAGCCGGCCTGGAGCTCACCCTCTTATCTTGGGGATTTTGTGCCGAGGAGAGAGCTAGAGTGGGATGTTGTCTGGAGTTTGCTTTTGTCACCTGTTCTTATGTAACAGGCTATAGTGTGATGCCCCGGGGTGAGGAAGGGAGAAGGCTGCTGTGTTGTGTGTTGCTCTGTCGTGACAGCAGCCCTGGAGCAAATCCCTGGAGCAAGGGTGACCTCCCTGAGCTGAGAGAGATAATCGGATTCCTTTTTATAGCCTCAGCTCCCACGGTGGGCCCCCACCAACTTTCCCGTGTTCCCCCCAAATCTTGACTGCTGAGCTGCAGAACGTGAATTTTCTTCCGTGATGTTTCTCATGATGTCTCTGATCTCAGGGTGGGCGAAGTTGGCTCTTGGATGACGTGGTATGGCTTTCTCTTGGCGGTGCTTAGGTGCCCGGTGTGGGCAGCAGGGCTCTGCCCGGCGTGTGCGCTGCCCTGTGGGGCTGGTCCGTTCTCTGCACAGCAGTACTTGGCTCTGCATTGATCATAACTCCAACGTCAGAGGCCAGGGGCTGAGACCCTGAAGACTGTCAGCTCAAGCCGGGTTCACAGCTCGGAAGCCTTGCTGCCTCTGTTTTCCTCCGCCTTCCGTTGCTGCAGGCTGTGCCCGTATTTCCAAAACAGGGCTGGTCTCTCAGCCTGCACCCACTCGTGGTTGCTGTGTTTGCTCAACGCAGGCTGAGGCCCTGACCTCTGCGGGACACCTGTGTGTTTTCTCTCCAGGTGACGGGGGACATCCTGGGTCCCTCTCCGCCAGCCTGTACATTCCACTGGCAAGGCTGACTTCGGCCTGAAGTGCTCAGTGGCCACTTCCTACAGAAAAGGTGTCAGTCATCTGTGTGCTGTGAGTCCGTTCGGCACCCTTTCCCTGACAGCAGGATAAGGGGATTGGGTGGAGAGGTGTGAAGGAACCTGGGACCGCACATCTGTGGAGCATGTGGCTGCTTAACCAAGAGTTTCAGCCGCGGGAGTTTGAGTTGAGTTGAGTTGAGTGAGCCAGCCCCTCGTGCGTGGTCGGGCCAGGCTAAGGGACCAGGGCAGGGCTATAGTTATGCCTTTGCATTCCAAGTTTAGAATGTGTACTCCGTAATGGGAGCTTCCCTTTGGGTATTGGTGTTGTTCAGGATACCTTATTATTATTATTATTATTTAAGATTTTAAAAATTTATTTGAAAGGTAGAGTTAGAGAAAGCAGGAGACCAAGCTTCTGCCTGCTGGCTCACTCCCCCAATGATTGTAATGGTTAGAGTTGGGGCAGATTGAACCCGTGAGCCAGGAGCCTGTCTGGGTCTCTCGTGTGGGTGCGGGGACCCAATACCCTCTGCTTCCCCAGGAGCATTCGCAGAGAGCTAATCAGAGGTGGAGCAGCAGGGACTTGAACTGGCGTCCACATGGGATGCTGGGCACTGCAGGCAACAATTTAACTTTTACCGAAAAATCAGATTTACACAAATGAGAGACAGAGAAAAACATCTATATACTGGTTCACTTCCCAAGAGGCCACAATGGCCAGAGCAGAGCCAATCCGAAGCCAGGAGCCAGGAACTTCCTTCAGGTCTCCCACGCGGGTGCAGGGTCCCAAGGCTCTGGGCCATCCTTGACTGTTTTCCCAGGCCACAAGCACGGAGCTGGATGGGAAGCGGGGCTTCCGGGATTAGAACTGGTGCCCATATGGGATCCCAGCAACATGTGTAAGGCGAGAACTTTAGCCGCTAGGCCACCGCACTGGACCCTGTATTTTGTTTTTAATTAAGATTTATTTATTTGAAAGAGTGACAGAGATGCAGGTAGAGGTAGAGCTATAGAAATATATAGAGATGATAGAGAATTCTTCCATCAACTGGTTCACTGCCCTACATGGCTGCAAGAACAGGAGCTGGATCCTGTCGAAACCAGGGACCTCTAAGTCCATCTGAGTCCCACATAGTAGCAAGAGTCCACTGCTTTCCCAGGCACATTAACAGGAAGCAGGATCAGAGGTGCTGCAACGGGGACCCAAATCCTTGCTTCAATATGAAATGCTGACATCACAAATGGTTGCCTAACTTGCTGCACCACACGCTGGCCTGAACAGTGTGTGCCACTGTCGACAATCTACAGCAACTAAATGGGCAAACTGCTTAGGACGCAGGCTGTCCGACCTGGCGCCAGGAACCCTGATGCACGGAAGGGCATGGGAAGCAGAATAGCCAGAATATAAACTGGTGCCCCTGCAGGAAGCCAGCACATGCAAGGTGAGGATTCAGCCCCTGAGCCATGATGCTGACCCTGCAGGTTAACTTGATGAGCCACAATACCAATAGCAGGCCTTCAGGGCTGCTATTCAAGATCATAGGCGGAAGTGTATCTAGGACCAGCTGGTCCAGGGAGAAGAGACGCTGCAGAGAGCTCTCACGTTTGCGTACAACATCCCTCTCTAGGTGTTAGCCAGCTCAGCACTGACAGCTTTCTGGACTGTAGTGACCACGTGAAGTCTCCTTACTGGGCAGGACTGTCACAGTTTGTGACTGCTAATGATCAGAGACATAAGGCCAACGAAACCCCAAGAGGATGCCATGCTGTTGGTGAAATTCTCTTGGCTGTGAGCCAGACTGCTGTTTGAAAATTGCCAATGCCAACAGAGAGGTGCGCAGTGGGCAGGGGGCGTCTCCTCTGACCTTGCTTCCTCTCCCTCCTCCACCTTCCTCAAAGGGCATCTGGGTTTCTGGACAAAGAGTGACTTTTTTTTAAACTGAAATTAAAAAAAAAAATTTTTTTTTTAATTGGAAAGTCAGATGTACAGAGAGGAGGAGAAACAGAGAGGAAGATCTTCCGTGTGATGATTCACTCCCCAAGTGATTGCAATGGCTGGTACTGAGCCTATCCACAGCCTTGAGCCAGGAGCCTCTTCTGGGTCTCACATACAAGCACAGGGAGCCAAGGCTTTGGGCCGTCCTCGAGTGCTTTTCCAGGCCACAGTCAAGGAGCTGGATGGGAAAGAGAAACCACCAGGATTAGAACTGGCGCTCATATGGGGTTCCGGCGTGTGAAAGGTGAGGATTTCAGCCACTCAACCATGCACTGGGCCCCCAAAGAGTGACTCTTAAGCATGAGGCTGCGTGGAAACCCAGAGATCCACTCTTTGTTCTCCCTTGGGTTTGGAAGAACTCAGGAGATACTTGGAAGTATTTAGAGTTCAAGGCTAGTGTGTTGAATTGTGCACTGGACTTTGCTTCCTTAAGAACACCCAGGCATTTCTGCATTTCCTGATGCTGAGGCCTGACTGCCCCTAAGCCCGGGTTGCTTCTGGTGGGCTGGGCTGCTCCGGGTTCGCCCGGATGCCCAGTGACGGGTTGAAGAAGCTGGAGTGCCTGACACCAACATAGTAATTAGGACCTGTCTCCACAGGCTTTTCGGGGCCTAATCGCCCTGCTTTCCTTGGCCTGTTCTGAAGATTCCTTGAGCAGCCTCGCAGGCTCACTGCACTCCCTGCCCACTGCTCAGTCCCTTGCTGGCCCCTGATGCTGCTGGTGTCATGTGGTGGGGGGGGCTTGGGAGAGGCCAGGCCTGTTTTGTTTTTGCCCCCGCTGTCTCAGTTATTTTATCGAAACTATTTTTTTGGCTAAAAGGAGACAAGTTACTGCTAACCTCCTGGGCAGGTGCCAGGCCTCTTGGAGGGGCCTGGCTTCCAGAGGGAGGGCATTGGAGTTTTGGTTGCATGGGGTGCCTGGGGTCCCTGAGCCCAGCCTTGCCACCCTCTGACTTGCATGAAGCCATTTCTGAGTTCCCGGCTATCCTAGGCTTGATCCACTCAGCTGCCTTGATGGCAGGCCCTGGGTGTGGCATGAAAGGGGACACTCTGGGATAGAGCAGCAAATCCCAGTAGCCAAAGGGTTTCAGCTCCTCTTTTTCTCTCCTCCTTTT